TTTTTTTTTTTTTTCAAACTAAGATATTGTTAAAAAGTAACAAAAAACCAAGATTTTTTTTTTTGAATACCTTCTTCAACCACCAATCAGCCGTAAAACGTTGATCAGCACAGTACTGAAGCCAGCGGACATCAGACTCTGGCCAACTAATTGTCTTCTTACAACACACAAAAAAAAACGGTTCATAGTCAAACTTAATTACAAATTGTACATCTGAAAAAACAGGTCATCAAAGTTCAAACCAATTTTTTGACGCAGTTATATTCTGCTTATTCGCTACAATAACTTCACAAGTTTTAATTTGAACATTTTTTTTTTTCGACAAAACTGATAACATTCCAAATGAAGCACTGATTAAAGTATAGTAAATAATGTTAACAGCAGGAACTAAAAAGTGACGCCTCTGCTGATAATTCTGCTAAAAGCTACTAAATAAAGCATTAATATATTGCATTAGCTAATTAACAACAACAACAACAACAACAACAGAAAAAGGTAATTTCTTTTTGTTTAAAACTTTCCAATAATATGAATAACGATGAGGTTCAGAAAAAAAAAAAATCATTTTTCAACTTTTAGCATAATATATGATTCTGAGCTCTCAGTCGACCACAGCTGCAACAAAAGTAACAGCAACGGCGATAGCAGATACAGTGACTGCTTCAGATGCTTTTCAGTAACAGTAGACGACAATAATGACAACTTTCATTAGTTTATTTGTCCACTATCTGTTGCCGTTTACTTCTGAATATTAGTGAAGATGAAGCTCATACATCAGTTGCAGTAGGCAAAGCATAGTAACAAAAATCGTTGTAATTGCGAATTGCAAAGGAAAAAAAATCCTTTAAAATAATTCAGAATATCACTGATACTTATTGATACTGTTGTAAATATTAGTGAAATGTTGGCGTTGTTAATAAGTGAAACAACAACAAAAACAAAAAAAAAAAAATTGATATTAAATGTATGCCAAAAATTAACATCATTTTGAGCAAAATAATTGTCCAAAAATGATAAATCATAAAATAATATAACTGTGTTATGTATAATTTGATGTATAAATTTTGAAAATAAAGCGTAATCAGATCAAAAAAGTATAGAAAATTTCTGTTAAACTTCTTCTCCATTTTTCTGTTCTTATTTTTTAAACAGTAACAAAACATTAAATGTAAATAAAACTGTCAATAAATGTTCAAAATATGGACAGATTATTTTTGCAGCTGTTAAATGTTCACTCTTTCAATGTTAGTACCAAAGTTAATAGCAACGAAAAAAAAAAATAAAGAACAGCAATTAAAACTCAATAGTAGTCTTAAATTATTTGTCAACTATACCAAATAGGTAAAAACTATAAAATAAAAAAAAAAATAGAGAGAAAACCTTTCGTTTCGTTTTCAACAATCATAAAATGATAATTACACATCTGAACAATCTGACAATTTACACGACGATAACTTTAGAGATTACGTTTGCAATTTATTGTTGACCACGATTTCACTTCACACTTCTGAGCAATCAATTTAAAATTTTAAACAACAATTTGAAGATGAACAAAATCATTTCATCAGCAAAGACTGATGACCAAAATCGTACGCTATACCAACAGAATTCAATGGTTCCAGCCATTTAATATATGCTTTTTTTTTTTTTTCTTTCTTCTCCATTTGCAACATAAACAATAGTGATAGTACAAACTGAATAAATTCGTCAACTATTATAAGGCTATTTAAAAAAGAATTATACAACTGGCATACTATTTTTCTGCAAGTTC